GATGTTCGAACTGCACCCGATCTAAATCATTTTACAGTAAAATGTACTATGAGTTTCTCAAAGTGTTGCCGTCAAATCATTAATGGTAGGTACCTATCATTAGCTTACCCATAGTTTCTAAAACCCAGCCGACGGTACCATCGCCACCGCAACAAATTACCCTAAAGTTCTCGACGTCTTTGAACATTTGCAAGCCTTGCATCGGACCACCTATAGCAAGATTGTGTACCTGTCTGGGATTCAGTATGTATTGGAACTTTCTCAACATCCTTTCGCCTTGTCTACCACCAGATTTTGGATTAATGAAGACCAATAACGGTATCGTATCTGAGGATGGCGTTATTTGGAAGGACATTGCTGGTTGTTGATTCGACGTACTAACACCGCAGCTTAAGAAACCACCCTGATGAAGAGGAATCTTTCGTACTCCAATCGCATCTAATCACAATCCGTAGTCTATCCCAAATAGAAATGTGATCTTTTCATTGTCTTCGTTATCGAATATATGAAATCAATCACAGGTAATGGATGCACAACCACGATATAGCGCGATTAATAAAAATATGATATATACATATATATATATATATATAAATAATGATAGATATCAAGGTCACAGTCTTATTTGGGATGAAATATGTACGAAGTAGAGACTAATTGAGAAAAAAAAAATAAAAAAATAAAAAATAAAAAATAAAAGGAAATAAAAAAAAAATAAAAAATATATATAAGTGTGTGTATATATATATATATAAAGAAAGAAAGAAAAAAAAAAAAAAAAAAAAGTTTATCACTACGTTGGTCTAACACTCACGGAACTGACGGATGAAGTATCCTGCCCATGTTTACTACCCCTTTTGCTATCCCTCGACAAAGATCTCTGTCTGTCCAATACCACCGGACATATCGCCGTAGGCGGTAAAATGTGTACAGCGTATTCGCCGAGAGTGCATTCGGCTTTCACTTGGGACACGCATCTGTTGTGCAGCTACAAAGTTACGATTGAACAGCCGATGTTGATCGATCGATCGTTCGAGTCTTCGAGGAGAGTTACAAAAAAAAAAAAAGGAGGAAAAAAGAAAAAAGAAAAAAGAAAAAAAAGAAAAAAGAGAGAAAGTGGAGAGGAAAAAAAAAAGAGAGAGAGAGAGAGAGAGAGAGAGAAAAATATATATATATACGTATAGACAAGCTATGAAAAAATCGAAAAAGCTTACTCACGGTCAGCTGACACCAACGGCAATGGAGTCCCGTGATTCCGTTGTAACTTTTAATGGTTTTTCTGCACTTGGAGCACTTTCCGTGACAATTGCCCTCGACCCAGTGATGGAGCATGGTTTGCGATGTCTTTTTACTTTTCACATAGGTCGCAATGCACGATGCCGGTGCTCTTTGAACGCACCTTTCGTGAACAGTATACTTGCAGACTTGTGAGAAGAAGAAACAAAATAAATAAATGAATGAATGAATGAATGAACGAATAAATGAATAAATAAATAAATTGTAGAAAGAAAAAGGTAAGATTTATATATATATATGTATATGTAAAATATAAAAATATTAAAAAAAAAGAAAAAGAAATATTCAGCAACGTTGGAAAAATATTTTAGATTTATTCGATCGAGAGTAAAAAAAGAAAAAAAGGAATAGATCCTTACAGACACAACAGAGTCCCTTTTTTCCAAGTCCAACTAACATGTTCAAGCATAGATTGCAATAAGCGGGTTTGCTGAAGTGCTTCAATCTCCACAAATGATTTCCATCCTCCTTCACGTGAGAATCGAGACCAAGGAGAACTAACAATGGAATGGTCGTTAATCCGCCCCTCTTCCATTCCTCCAAGGACACCGTACCATCCGCATCGTAATCGATCTCTATCATCATGTCTTGTAATATCTAAAAATCGTTCGTCTTTACGTTATTCGAACATTCGTACTCCGGTACTCATCTTTCATGATACAATGAGAGAAAAAAACTTTCTCAGATTATTTTGTACTCACCGGTTTTAATTCGGTGACGTCCCAACCGAGATATTCGGCTACGTTCATCATTTGATTCACGATGCAGTCCATTTCCTACGATAAAGAAAAACAAATTATTATAAATAATAATGAATGAATGAATGAAATAATGAATGAAATAATGATTGAAATAGATTGAAATAATGAATGAATGAAATAATGAATGAACAAACGAATGAATGAATGAATGAACGAATGAATGAATTTAATATCAATAGATAACATATTTTCGATCAAAAATCAATGAAAATTAATTTTGAATATATTTACAATTCTTCTTTCCTCAAATTTTAATCTAAAAGAAAGTATCAAATATACCAAATCTATATGTGTATTTGTTAACGAAATTGTAAGAGATAGGAGAAGAAAAAAAAAAAAAGAGAGAAAAGAGAAGAAGGAAAAAAGAAAAAAGATTTAATATCGTCGAATATTTACAAACGATTCTCGAAGAGAATAACGATAGATAACTTATAGGTCACATTGTAAATTCTATTCGTTACAACTACCAATCGGATCCTAATATCCTAAAATTTATTCGCGTAAGTATTATGTATCCATAAAGAACGTGCTTTTACGATGGCATGCAACGTAAGTAATTATTCATTGTGGAACATATATATATATATATGGAATGAAGGAAATAGTGAATTTTCTTAAACACGTGTGGTGTTACTAAGGTAAACTCGTAAAATAAATGGGATCCGTTCTAACGTGTTATATACTCGTTTGATTGATCTAAAACAAGCGAAGAAATTTTCGAAAAACGTCATTGCTTCGTAAACTTTAAGCTTGAACAAATATCTACGATGATTGGCGATTAAAAAAAAAAAAAAAAAAAAAAAGAAAAACAACAACGGAACGAGTACGCATACAAATCGACTTTTTATTTTTAATTTTTTTCTTTTAATATTCTTTTTTTTCTCTTTTTATATTTATATTGAATTTTTATTTTTCCCCGTACCAAGAGAGATAGATAGATAGATAGAAAGAAAGAGAGAGAGAGAGAGAGAGAGAAAGAGAGAGAGAGAGAGAGGGAGAGATACAGTGCGATGAAAGAAAAAAAAAAGAAAAAAGTAAAGAAAAAATTTTCGATATCGGATCAACGACACGAATGTTTTACTCACGTTCGTGTCAAGGACGCCATTCCCATCAGTATCGTAGAGCCGGAACATGACTGGAAAAAAAAAAAAGAATACCTATGAAGAAAAGCGTCAACGGACTTGACTCCAATATCGAAAAGTGATGTGCAACAAGTTGCAATATCTACGTGCGAGTGTTCATGTACAAATTGCGTTCAATGCACGTGTAATCTTCCTGGTGTGGAAAATCGAGAGAAACGTTGACGTTTTAACGATTACTTATATATATATATATATATATATATATATATATATATATATATGTATGTATGTATACGTATATGTATATATATACATATGAGTATACGCGTGTGTTATAAGTAGCGTTCTCATTTTTTCTTTCTTTTTTCTTTTTCTTTTTTCTTTTTCTTTTTGTTTTTCTTTTTTCTTTCCTTTCGATTTCGATAGAAGTAGAATAAAGATGAGAAGAAGCAAGAAAAATAAATTAAAAAGAGTAAAAAAATTATTGTAATTATTCCTTTTGCAGTCATATGGTCAATCATCAGAAGGTAAATAAGTAAATACGCGTTAATGACGATCTTGTCGTACAATCATGAGTTTATATGTCACAGTGAGAAAGTAAAAAAAAAAAAAAAAAAAAAAAAAAAGAGAAAAGTGAAAATAAAAAAAGAAACAGAAAAAGGAAAAAAAGAACAATTAAAGAAAGAAGAAAAAGTATATTTCGAGGAAGACTAATTAATCGTAACAGAATCGCTATAGAAGGAAACGAAGAAGAGAGAGATAGATTCTTAGCGTTAAATTTGTTTAAATTAAATTTATTGAAAATATTCAAATTACTTACACTCTAATTTGTCTTCTGGTCTACCTGCTTCCAATAGAGAAAGATAACAGACGATATCCTTCAAGCTGACCTTAACCGAGTGGACGTCTATTGTACTTTGCTTTCTAACAAGATGTCTCATCTCTGCGAAAGAAAAGAATGATAATCGTTTAGATAACAACAACAAGAACAACAACAACAACAACAACAACAACAACAATAAAAAATCATATGATAGATAAGAACGACGAAGAAGGAATTTTGTTTGTAAAAAAAAAAAATCATTAGTAAAAGCTTCAGAAATTATTTTCGATTTAAAACTCTCTCTCTCTCTCTCTCTCTCTCTCTCTCTCTCTCTCTCTCTCTTTCTCTTAATGTCATTCAATTAGATATTATTCTAAGTTAATAAGTCGAATCAACGACGTGCACATTTTTGAGGATACACGGAAAATTTCTATTGTTTCGAGGACAAAGTATTATATTTATCCGTTCGTACGATGTGTTGTAAATAATTTTGTTTATCTTTTTTCTTTTTTCTTTTTCTTTTTTTTTTTCTTTTTTATATCTTCCCTCTCCTCAAATATAAGAATGATATTTTTCAAGTAAACACACTTTAGATGGCTCGCCCATCTATCTGTGAATCTCTACACACACATACATACATATATATATATATATATATATATATATATATATTTGTATATACATTGTTCTTATTATAACTTGAAATAATATCTATTTCAGACGATACACGACATAGCCGTTGATATTTTCGTAGCATTTTAAAAGAATGAAATATTTATTCTCACGTTCAATTTCGTTTGATGCTAAATCGGGTGCGACTCATTGTTTTCTAAAAGTATTATTACTAATATATAAATATATATATATATATATATATATATATATCCTAAGAGAAATCGTTGATTATAAAAAAGATGTTGAAAATTGTTCAAAAAAATTTTTACGATAATATTATATATCTTATTCGTTTTATAATGACAAATCGATATAATAATGAAGATTAACGAAAGGAGATAATAAAGCAATTGAAAAAGAGGGGAAAAAAAAAGAAAAAAAAAAAACATGAAAAATAGAAGATAACATAATTTTATTAAGAAAAATTAAATTTCTCTTTGGCTTATCGATTTGATATATCCTTAGATTCGTATTTATTTTCGAAAATTCGCGATTCTAATAGCGTAGATGATTTCGTACGGCGACGGTTTCGGCTAAAAATAATTTTTCGTCAGACCTAAGTCTGTGCGAATGGCGCTCTTCTGTCTGTCAATTCTATACTTCCGTAATTTTATTGAATAACATTTAGATTCATAACTAGACAGAGAGGACAAGAGAGGAGAAAGAGAAAAAGAGAGAAAGAGAGAGAGAAGAACAGTAAAATACAAAGAACATCGATATTATATCAAAATTTTTTTTCTTATTAAATTTTACAAATCTTTTCTCAACAAATAGTCAAATACATTTTGCAATTCTATCAAAAGTTTCTTTTTGTGATTCATATTGCAAAAAATTATTACGACAAAGTACCCATTTTACTTCCGTAATTTTATTTTATGATATTTAAAACCGTAATAAGAGATAGAAAGAGATGGATAAATAGATAGATAGATAGATAGATAGATAGAGAGAGAGAGAGAGAGAGAGAAAGTGAGAAAAAGATAGAAAAAGTCGGATAGTAGAGTAATATACAAAAAAAAAAAAAAAAAAAAAAACATACGATATTATATCAAGATTTTTCGAAATTGATTTTTTACGAACCTTCCTTCAGCAAATTGCCCGGTACGTTTTGCAAGTCTATCATAAGTTCCCTTTTGAGAACCATATTGTAAAGGATCTCACCGTGAGATAAAACGATTCAATTGTCTTAAGTAAATATATTAAAAAAGAAAAAAAAATATATATATATATATATATATTTATATAATAAAACAAAATTGTAAGGATCGAGAAACCTTTTGTAAAACGAACAAATATTTGTTATACTAATTATTAAATACTTAAAATAACATTCGTTGGCGATTATTGATTTAATGCAAAAGCAGCAATAATGGTAGCTGCAAAAACAACGATAACAACAAGAATAATAACAAGAACGATAGTAAGAACAACAAGAAGAATAACAACTACAATAACAACAAAAACGACAACGACAACGACAACGACAACGACAACGACGACGACGACAATGAAATGGAATAACAGTGGCACTCCGGTAACACTTGTTGCTTCTAGTGCACCTCGAGAGTTACTGAGCGTGGCGAAAGCTCGGTCAGGATACACAACACGCAAGGTTCCGAAGCAAACGACGTCATTTATACCGAATGACACCGAAGGCGTAGTGCTATTTCGAGGAATCCGCCAGAGGCGTGCGAAAACGCGTCAACCCTCTCTCTTTCTCTCTGTCTCTGTCTCTCTCTTTCTCCCTTTCTCTCTCTCTCTCTCTCTCTCTCTCTCTATATGTCTGTCTTTCTCTTCCTCTGTCTTTCTTTTTCTCTCATGAATACAACGAAATATCAATTGACACGATCAATTAAAAAGATCCATATCGGCGATTAATTTTCTTTTCCTTCTCCCACCCCGCTCTATCCCGATGACAAATTCCACAAAAATAAAAAATTTTCAATCATATCGCGCAATATTTCAAACAAACGTCTATTTCATTTATCGAACGAGCGATTATTAATTCAATTTTCGAGGTTAATTAAAAATTGTATGACAATGGAATTGAATGTCAAATAAAAGTGAAAGAATGGGTTGAGTAGAGGCATGTACATTCGAGAATCGATCGATCGAAAGGATCACAATGACAATCGATTTTTATTTGACGATTGTCAATTTTGTAACAATCACGATAAAATCTGTTACGTTATATATATAGAGAGAGAAAGAGAAATATATATTATATATATGTATATATATATATATATAGAAAAAGAGTTTCAAGCACGATTTGTTCATTTTCGAACGAATAATGTTAAGAAAAATTTTATATACATTTATATATATATATATATGTATATACGTATGGTAAAGAAAATGGAGCGTTACGATTTGCGTTACGTTTACGTCGAGAGATTTGTTTGTTTAAAGAAAGACGGAAATAAACAGAAACAAGTTGTTAGTAACTAACGGGATATTTCTAATGTCGTGACATTTCGTAAAGATCAAGGCGTTTGTTTACATAAGATTTGTATAAGCGAAAATTGGAAATATCGAATTCCGCTTCCTGTATTTTCATGTGAGAAATAGTAAGAGATAGATAGATAAATAGATGGATAAAGAGACAAGAAGAAAATTTATTCGAACTTCTCTTAGCAATTGCGAAAGTCTTTGACGAACATCTGGATTCTATAAACCAAACATGTTACATTTATAATTATATTAATGCTACAGGCAGATTTCTCGAAAAGAAAAAAGAAAAAAAAAAAAAAAGAAAAAGAAAAAAAAGAGAGAAAAAAAAAAAAAAGAAAACAAAAATGATCGATCAAAGCAGAAAATCACGTAAGATTTCGAGTTAAAATTGTTCGGCTTAGTATATGTA